TATTATTATTATTATTATTATTATTATTATTATTATTATTGTTATCATTACTGTTATTATTCTCATTATCATTATTATTGTCCTTATTATTATCATCAATATTGGCCTTATTATTATCACTGTTATTATTATTGTTATTGTTGTTGTTATTATCATTATTAGCATTATTATTTTTATCAATAATATCAGTGATATCAGTATTGATATTGATATTATTTTACTTGTTATTGTTATTGTTATTTTGTTGTTGCTGTTATTTGATGTTATTGTTATTAGTGTTGTTAATTTTATTGTTATTATTATTATCATTATTATTATTATTATTTTCATTAGTATATTATTATTGTTGTTATTGATATTGTTATTATTATCATTGTCATTGTCATTGTCATTTTCATTGTTATTGTTATTATCATTATCATTATTATTACTATTATTATTAATAGTGTCATTGTCATTGTCATTGGTTGAATTATTATTGTTTTGAATATTAGTGTTATTATTATCATTATTATATTGTTTTTGTTACTGGTAGAATTATTTTTATTTTTTAAATTATCATTATTAATAATATGATTATTTATAATTATTGCTAATGTTATTATTGTTGATATTGTTACTGTGTGTATTATTAATATCAACGTTATGATTTATATTTTTTATTATGGTTATTATTAGTATAGATTCAGGTATTTTTATTTTTATAACTGCTACCATTAGCAGTGGAATTATGATAATGATATAGCTAATTGTTGTCTTTGTTGTCAGTGATTGTAGTCTGTTGTTATTGTGACTTGTTTTTGTTGTTATTATTATTGTTATTATTTATTTTGTTATTTTCTGAATTTCTACTATTTTATTTTCCAGTCATTGCATGTAGAAATATCAGTTTGATTTTCTTATTGTTGGGTGATTGAAATAGCAATTGTTTTTGCATATATTATTTTTATTATTTGTGAACTGTTAATCATTACAAAGAGAATGAAGAGAGAAATAAAGTGAATGGAGGATTTTCATGATTTGAAAAGGAATTAGAAATTTGAATTAGTAGGAGTAATAAGAAAATAACTGTAAAGAATAATGTGAATAATAACATGTGAAAGATGGTAAGAACAGCAAAAAAAGAATAACATTAACATAACGGCAAGTTTAAGGACAAAATTATGGTATATATACTAACATGGATAGTAATATGATATGGATGTAATGATGTTAATGATGGTAAGAAGAGTAGGTTATGAATAGAAATAAGAATAAGAACTATAGATTAACAGAGATCTATAGTGATAAAGAACAGTTTTATACAACTGTGATATGTGGGCCTTTGAATATTGACTGCCATTATGATATAAATGAGAAGAATGAACTGTATCCATGTTGACAAATGTAGAAAAGGTATGAATGAAACGGGATATCTTCACAATACAAGAGATGTATTTGACCGGTTTCAACTACGCCTTCTTCAGAAATACATGTATTTCTGACGAAGACATCTCTTGTATTGTGAAGATATTCAGTCTCATTCATACCTTTTCTACATATAAATGAGAAGATTAATCTCAGTTGATAGTGTAACTAATTAATAGAAAGGAAATTATGATTTTTAGGTTTAAAAAGAGGGAGATAGATGGATAAATATTATTTAGAGAAATCACCCTCTTAAGATGTACATATACAAAGTTGTCTGTAAGAAAAGTTTCACAAATAGTTGAAATGAATCAGCAATAATTGTTTTATAATAAGAAAAAGCTAGTCACTGAGATGAGTGACATGAAAATGCAGAAAAGATCTCTAACACAAAGTGAAAGTGATGCACGTGTTGGTGTTATGCAATATTAACAGTAAACAAAAGAATTAGATTCAGCGTTGGTTTTCTTGATTTGCCCCCATTGTGTTGAAGGTGGAAACACTGGTGGAAAGTGCAATGGAGAACAGGGAGAGGAGGAAAAGAAAGAGAAAGAGGAATAGGAATAGGAAGAGGAATAGAAAGAAGAGAAGAGGAGGAGGAGGAGGAAGAAGAGGAGGAGAGGAAGAAGAGGAGGAGGAGGAAGAAGAGGAGGAGGAGGAAGAAGAGGAGGAGGAAGAAGAAGAGAGGAGGAGGAGGAAGAGGAGGAGGAGGAAGAAGAGGAGGAGGAGGAAGAAGAGGAGGAGGAGGAAAGAGAGGAGGAGGAGGAGAAGAGGAAGAGGAGAAGAAGAAGAGGAGGAGGAAGAAGAGGAGGAGGAGGAGAAGAAGAGGAGGAGGAGGAAGAAGAAGAGAGGAAGAAGAAGAGGAGAGGAGAAGAAGAGGAGGAGGAGATGGAAGAAGAAGAAGAAGAAGAAGAAGAAGAAGAAGAAGAAGAAGAAGAAGAAGAAGAAGAAGAAGAAGAAGAAGAAGAAGAAGAAGAAGAAGAAGAAGGTAATTCAATTTAAGGCGACTGTCCCAGGAAATTACCACCTTTCCCAACTCATTTCATCCTAAAAAGTGATTGGTTGGAGATAACTCATTGATTCTTTTTGCATGATATAGAGCATAGAATTGCACTTTGTGTCATATATAATTTTGACCTCTCATCACCATAGGGGGGGAACACCCCCCTGAAAAGTTTTTAAAAAATCGTTTTTTCCCCCCCTCTTCTTCGGTACATTACCACTCCCACAGTTTTTATTCCTGAACAATCCTCGAAAAGTTCATTTGTCAGATCTATCCTAGCATAAGGCTGGGCAAATGGCCGATTTTTTAATTTCCTTTTTCTGGGGGGGCGGAGGACTGGTTGACGCAGAGTACTATTTTTGGTTTTGTTTTTTCAGCATTAAAAAATTTATATTTTTTTATTAAGATCAAAATTCATAAATCGACCATTTACACGGCCTCAGGGCTCAGAGGCTCTAGCGAAAGCAACAAACTGCATTTGGATTGCATGAAAATTACAAGCGTGGTAATGTACATAAGATAATGTAAACAAAGAACGGAAGTACAGCGTATTATATTTTGGCAGCTTGCCAAAGTTTGTTATCTCTGTTATTTTTCTCTAAGTCTCATGATCTTATATATTTATAAAAAGCTTATTTAGTGTACTTTGCAATGTGATGATTACCAAGTCAATCGGAATTACCATTTTCAATGGTATGTAATTTTTTTGTTTGTTTATTTGATATATTTGTCTGAAAAGTTTAATAAATGCCATGAACCATAGAAACAACTAGTCTGAACCAGATAAACTTTTTTATTTTATTTTATTTTTTTCATTTGAAGAAATGGGGAACTGTGGATGGCGACTTCAGTACAGAATCATCCTAATTAAAGTCCTAGCATGAATACAACATGGTGGTTCAATTTTGAGAATTTTAAAAGCATATGAATTTAGTACATCGAATTCGAGAACTTACTCAAGTAGTTGAATTTTTCCTATGCTCCAAACAAGTGGGGGGGAGGGGGAGATGGTCACTGGGTGTTTGTAATTTTCGAGGAGGATCATATGTACGTGAAAACACGCACATAAAGTTTAAAAAAATGAATCATCCTCATTTAGTAGGCCTACATCGACTTCTATATAAAAAAGAATAAAATATATTAGTTATCCCTCTCAAACCATTTGCTTTGATAATAGTCAATAGTAACAGATTGCAATAGGAAACAAGTGTAGAGTTGTTGATTAGCCATTTGCACCCATTATCTTTACTAAGAAGTGCATAAAATCATGCAGACACCTAGATGTGGTGGGATATTTGCGAATTTTTGGTACCTACGACCTGCGGTAACATCTAAACATAATAGTTTTTATTGGGAACGCACGAAACATAAACTATAGCTGTTTCAACTCTAGACGAAGACTGTGCATACAAACGAGTTCAAAATTCCATATAGTTTTTTAATTCAGAAAGGGTATTACTGAGTACTATCATCTTCAATATGAAATAATCAGTATCTGGCTTATACAACTGAAGTTCCAGAATCCGACTTTTAAGTGCCCTTTGTAATGAATTGCCCTTTACAACGATAACGACCAATTTCAAATCAAATCAAATTTACTGATGCTGTGATGTACTGACTGACTCAATTCTTACTTGTACGGCTATTTTCAAACATTAGTGCTCCGTACTCGGTATACATACAGATTACTTCGTAAGCTACAACATATTACCAGGGAGTCTCGATAGAAGCATATTTCGTGTGTAAAAGGACACAAAGATTACATTTTTGTAGATATATTCCACAAAATATTTTGTCAAAAATCACTGATATAATTTTTTTCTGATATTGGCATAAAAGTGTTCCTTGAACATTCATGAACTCATATCTGTGCGCAATGTTATGATCAAATGCTGTATGCACTATTGCAACAAGCAAATGTCCACAAAGGTGTACCTGGCGTACCTGCCCAGGTGTTTAGTGGGTCTTGTGTTCTCTGTCCAGGAACTAGCCATAGCAGGGCTTTAATACTTGTTTGGTAGTTTCCTTATCCATGTACCTATACTATATGCTAACTAGCTCAATTTGACCCCCCCCCCCATCTGGGAGGGTCTCCTTAAAGCTCTATGGTATTAGAAAAATTTTAGTGTGAAATAAATAGAGGATAGTTAAAAGTTTGCCCATGGAGATCAAGTGTAGACTTACGTCACACACACACTGTACGCTGTTGTTTTTTTGTATTAGTTTTGTTTATACAGAGGGCTTCAGAGGCACTCAGTCGCCAAGGAGTAAAGTATTAGGCCTACTTAAGTTGACTTCTTGGTACTTAATATGTCATATGTATGTAACAAAAATTAATAAAAGGAATTACGTACACAGTGGACTCTGACATGGAAAGTACGTATCTCTTAACTGAGGCAAAGCATAGTTTTTAAATGAAAGTTTTTTGCCTTCTTGTGTAGGCCTACCTTATTCCTGGTGGGCAACACTGAATGTAGACATGAAGTCATGAAGTAAACAAAACCTATGATTTATGAAAATAGTTATTGAATTTTAGGCATAGAATTGAAGTATTTGAAGTGGAAAAATCAGCATTAATGTTACTTTTCAGGTTCCAAGATGAGTGGGCTACGCCGGCTCCGCGTAGCGGAGCTCCATCCAAATCTCCTCTGCATTCTCTGTGGAGGATATTATGTGGATGCAACCACCATCGTCGAGTGCCTCCATTCTTGTGAGTGGCTATTCTAAGGTCTATGCCATTCAAGAATCAAATGATCAGTATAACTTTTTTTTTTTTTTCCATTATTTTTCAGTAAAAGAAAACTTGAATAGTAGGTAGAGTAACCAGTAGATTATTGGTTAGATTTTAGATGAAGTTGATGACCTATTTAAAAGTAATAGAACTTTTTGTAGAATGAATGATATTCAGAAATTCTAGTATGATTATTTAAAATACATTTACTAAAAATATTTCGCTCTATCCTGACAGTTTGCAAGACCTGCATTGTACGGTACCTGGAATCAAGCAAATTTTGTCCCATTTGCGACGTCCAAGTCCACAAGACGAAACCTCTGCTGAGCATCAGACCAGACAAAACCCTGCAAGATATAGTTTATAAATTGGTCCCCGGCCTGTACCAAAGTAAGTGTAACAATTGTCATTTTTCTGGTGAGAAGCAAGAATTCTCGTTTTTCTGATTTGAAAACGTAAGAAATGTCATTTTTCAGGATAGAAAATATGAGGAGTGTCAATTTTCTGGTTAGCATATGCTAGGAATGTCATTTTACTGGTTTCAGAGCACAATGAGTGTCATTTTTTTTACTAGAAGATTATATAACAAGTAGGGTTGTTTTGCTAGTTAGAGGAGATAAAGATCATCAGTTTTCTTGTTAGGAAACAGAAGTATAATTTTTCTGGTGAGAAAACACTCCGTATTATTTTTTCTGCTTTGAGAATGCAAGGAGTGTCAATTCTCTAGTTAAAAAAATACAAGCAGTTTAGTTTTTTCTAGTTTGAGAACACAGAGTATAATTTTTCTTAACAGGAAGCACTAAGAGGTGTTGATTTCTAAATCTGAAAATATATGCAGCACCCTTTAACTCACTTTCTCACTGCCATCACTTTAAGACCTCGTCCTCATCTGCAGACGAGATGTGCCGACGGAGAGAGTTCTACACTGGCCACCCAGAGACACAGCCCATGAGCCAAGAGGACGGGGGCAGTGACGTCGGCAGATGGTACATCCTCCCGGATGACCCTGTTTCCCTGGCGCTCTGTCCTGCCCCCCCAATACTCAGCCCAACCCCCCCATCACACCCCAACAATCATGGTTGCTTGACAGATGGCACTGGGGTGACAAGGGGAGAGGCCATGCCACGATTGTCTGAAGTTACTGTGAGTCATTCATGATCTCCCTTTTCTCTCTTCTTTATATTCTTCTGTCTGGTCCATATCACATTTTTTAAAGTATATAGTTAGAGGAAACACATTTATTTCTTTTATTTTTAAAGAACAACCAATAGATAATTAAAATAAAAGAAAAAAATAATAGAGCTTACTCAATTGCTATCATAGCTTTAGAGAGCTGTCATCAAGGTCATTATCACAACTGTCAATCTCTCTCCCAGAAGGTTCGTGGTAGTCACATGCGCTACCTACAGTGCCCGGCGGGAGTAAGCGTGGCCCAGCTAAAGCGACTCCTGAGGGCCAAGTTTGGGGTGGGGCCCTCTCACCCCATGGCCCTCCTCACGGGCTCTTCCGACGACCCTCTCAATGACACCCTGACGCTGGTTGACGTGGCGTACATTACATCATGGCAGCGGGTATGTTTTTAGTTAGGCTTACCTTGTGAGTGAGTGAGTGAGTGAGTGAGTGAGTGAGTGAGTGAGTGAGTGAGTGAGTGAGTGAGTGAGTGAGTGAGTGAGTGAGTGAGAGAGAGAGAGAGAGAGAGAGAGAGAGAGAGAGAGAGAGAGAGAGAGAGAGAGAGAGAGAGAGAGAAGAGAGAGAGTGAGTGAGTGAGAGTGAGTGAGTGAGTGAGTGAGTGAGAGAGAGAGAGAGAGAGAGAGAGAAGAGAGAGAGAGAGAGAGTGAGTGAGTGATGAGTGAGTGAGTGAGTGAGTGAGTGAGTGAGTGAGTGAGTGAGTGAGAGAGAGTGAGAGATGTTGAATGACTTACCGTCATGAGTGGAGGCCAGGGTGATGAAAAAGACTCACCATGAGTGCACAAATGTCTTCGAGGGTGATTACTTATTTGTCATTTAGAAAGAGACTTTTGTGTTATTCTCATTGATAATTGAGTAGACTGGTGGCACAGATTTTATTACAGAAAAATGAATATTACAAAAAGATAGAGATGACAAACATGAATATAGTACTTTTTTTCTAGCTACATATTTACTACATAGATGATATGCAAGGAAAACAATCTTATTGCCATTGATAAAGCAAATCAAAGTACATATATTCACATTGGAAAATGGTAAAATGCAGCACACCCAATAGGGCGGCTGCTTACACAAACCTAATGCCTGTATTTTGGTCGATGTGATTGCTGAGATGCAACTAGATTCAAGGCTTTTTTGGAAAAAATCATTAGCATGGAAAACATGAAAATTAACCTGATCTCTGTCCTCTTGACAATGGCATACAAATATTTTTTAGGTGATGATGGTAAAAAGAGGCTCTAAATTTATTTTTGAGGTGTTTTTCCTCTTCAGTCAATGCAGCCAGGACCAAACAAGCACACAACTGTTCAGCATGTACAATTAAGAGCAGGTTTGACTGCACATAGCCCAAAGATGTCCTCCTGGCATAAGAGGTGGTCCCTGACCTAATAGAAAGTCATCAAATGTCATCTCAGTGTGAATAGGATAATTGCCATTGATGAAATCCCATGTGTTTTTTCATGTACACAAGTATATTTCACCTTTGCATGTTTCCTTTACTAGTTACGTGCTAGTGATGTAACTTGCTAAAGTTTTCTACTGTAATTTATACAAAGGATCTTTGTTTATTTTCCCTTGCAGACTGAGCCCTTACAACTGCTGTACCGAATATACGAGAGAGCAAGCAAGAAAATCAAACTGGACCCCGACACTTTCTGCAAGGATTCTGGAAGCCTGTCTGAAGACATGCCCAAGCTGGAGCCCAATGTAGGAACGGATGTGGCTAGTATTACCTGCGGTTCCTCTGACTCAGCAGGCAATTTGACAGACTTCCGGTGTGCCCCATTGTTGCAGGCAGTGGGGGTGCTGGGTTACCCTCTGCCTCTCAAAAGTGAGCCTCCCCCTGAAGCTCCAGCACCGTTGTCATATGTTGACATGGCCTCGGAGGTGGCCCTGCAGAATGAGGGCCCCCGGCTAAATGCGGCTGTCAAGCAGGAAGATGCGCTGACTGCTAAACCAATGGAAATGCTGGCCAGTGAGAAGGAAAGTCCTTTGCAAGGAGTGACCAATTCAGTGAGTGAAATGATACAGGGTAATAGTGAGGTTAGTGGTAATGATGCAAGCAAAGGGCACAGCATGCTCCATCCCAGTGATAGTGTAGGAGGTGGAGCACTGGTGACATACACACCAGGTTTTCCTGCACCCAGCAATGGTGTCAATGTAGAAATTGCATTTGTGCCAGCAGAAATGGCATGTGTGGCCCCAGCAGCGGTCCCTTGTGCAATAGTCCCCAGTGAGGGCTGCATTCCAGTGAGTGAGAACTGCATTTCCGAAGGTGTTGAGGTACCTGTAGGGGCAAGCAATTCCAACACACAGACGCAAAAGCATGCCAATGGGAGTGTGGGAGGGGCTGGTGTGCCCAATATTTGGGGTGGATTGGGACCTAAGAAGGAAACTGAGGCAGGAACTAGTGATGTGATAGTGCCTAAGGAGAGCAAGGAAGAGAGAGAAAAGAAGAAAAAGAAAAAGGACATGGAGGAGGAAGGAAAGGAGGTGCAACTCAAGATAAGTGAGTCGGGGGTGATGAGTGTGTGTGGGCAGGACACCACAGTAGAGGGTGTCATCAACTCATTACAGACAGAAGCTTGTGAACTCTTATCAAAGATAGAAAGTGGGTCTCTGGGTGAGGACTTCCCAGTGAAAGATGTGGTCAGAGACCAGAAGTCCTCTAGTGATTCTAGTGCTGAGAGTAAAAAGATGAAATTAAAGGAGGCTCAGAGAGCAGGTGAGGAGAAATGTCCAGTGAGTAATGAGAAGGTGAATGTAGACTGTGCAAGAGAGGCAGGAGAAAAGAGAATATCCCCAAGCCAAGAAGCTGTGCCTGATTTTAATCACAAAGGCTTGAGTGGGGCCAACAAGGATGCAAGGGAAGCAAGATCTTGTGACAAGTTGAGAATAGATGGCAGTGCAGAAGTGGGGCCAAAGGTGAAGCCTGCGACTGAGACTCGGGAGAAGGCATCAGACAGGAGGTCCTCAGATGTCAGAAGATCTGTTGAGCAGCAGCAACCAAACAGTGTGAAGGAAAACAGTGGGAATGGCAAGGATAGTCGCTCAAGCCACATACCAGCCAGCCTGACAGCTGCAAGTCTAGCCAACCTCAACAAACCACACTTGAAGGCAGGAACATCAAAAGCTCAGATAGAAGAAGACACCAAAACCAAGGAGAAACCAAGTAACAATGGCCTCAACACCAAAAGGGAGGGCAAGCAGGAGTCAGCAGCTAAGGCCCCAGTTGGAGGCTGTCGTAAGTCGTCGCAGCCATATGGCTATAAGACGCTCAAGACACCACCCAAGAGCTGGAACCCAACCATCTCTAGAGAGCTCTTGGTGGCTGGCAAGTCTGCCATCAACAAGGGCAACCATGAAGCCCCCCGTACAAACAAGATATTCAAAGTTCGCAATGCTCCTCGCTTCCTGGGCAACCCTAACACTGGAGTCAGACCTTTGTACTCTGGAACCAATGAGAGTAACAGCTGTATGAAGCGCACCCTCATGTCCAAACTGGATCCCAAAGTTGCGGGGCCCATGACAGTGACAGCAAACAATGATGTGAGTGTGTCAAGCTATATGTCGGCAACCTCAGGCACCACTTCCTGTGTGTCTTCCGTTCAATCGCTGGCCTCTTCACCAGCCCAGGTAACTGCAAGTCCAGGAGCGGCACTCATGGTCACAGCAACCACCAGCCAGGTGACATCTTGTGCTCCACAGAGCAACAGTTGTACAACAGTAGTGGGAAGCCAAAGTGGAGGGTCTGAGGCAGACAACACTGTGGTCACCAGTACCAAAGCTTCCTCTACCTTGCCTGCGTCAATAGCAAGTGGGACAAAGGAAAGTACAAATCAAAGTTCAAAAGTCTGTTTTAATACTAATAGTTTGGCAGAGAATAAGTCTGAGAGTAAGGCTACCCATCACAACAGTGGTAAGACTGTCACAAACAACAAACCCCCAAGCAACATCAACAATTCAGCAAACAAATCTGAGAAGAAGGCTCAGCAGATTTCACACAGCAACAACTCCAAGCCAGAAGTTAGTGTGGAAAGCGGAACCACAAAGGCGGATGTGAAAGTCAATTCGAGTAGTGCAGTCATACCAACACGGACCACAATTACACACCCTGTCTCCAATGCTCCTGTTATGATGCAGCAAAAAACTGGGGCTTCAACCAGCATAACCACATGTATCACGCAGGTGAAACCAGCGACTGTCAACTCTTTGACAATTTCCAATACAGTCCACCAGCCTCAGCAGCATCTAGCCATGGCAGCACCAGCACTTGGGGTAGGCATTATCCCCTCTTGTGGGGTGACTTTCCCAGCAGCCATTGGCAACTTGCCCTTGCCTTGCCACACTAGCTCTTCCATCAGTTATCCAACATATCCGTACATCTACCAAGGCGCAGAACCCATCAGTCTTATTCCGCCTCATCCCTCTGCTTCTTTCATACCAACATTCCCCACCTGCCTCCCGCATCGGCCAGCTCTGGGCTCAAGGGGTATAGGAGGAGCCAAAATCATGCCAGAGCTGTCCCTGCAACAGAGCCTTCTTCCAGTGCTACCTTTGGTGTCACAGGTATCCCCCCAAACACTCTCACCTCGCCCCATGACTCCACCTTCCCCCAGGACGCCCACTTCATCGCAGTCTCCCAGGCCATATCCAGCCCAATCTCCCAGACAGTCTAGTACCAATCAGTCCAGACCTGTCACACCACAGTCCCCAAAGCAATGCCAGGTGGGGAAGGCAGAAATGCAACCTGGAAAAAACAATGGAACACCTTCGATGGCTGGGACCCAGTCAATGAAGATGGGGAATATACCTGTTCAAACCACACAGCCTATCTGGCCCGGCAATTGTCCTAAGCAGGTGACTGGGCCTGGCCAGGTGTTTGCATCGACTCAACCAAGCCCTCAGTCCCCAGGTCCTCCACCTTCCACCATTGCCGCCATGAACACATCACTCAGACTGAATGCTTCTGTACAAACATCAAGCTCTCATACCTTAATCACTCCAAAGACTCAGTGGAGCTCTGTTAATTCTTCTAAACCTGTTGTGCCTCAGTCCTCAAAAGCTCTGATGATCAGTCTGCCAGGACTATCTAATGCCCATGGAGTGCAGACGACCATATCAGATACAAACCGACCACATACTCCACAGTCCCCAAAGTCCCCTCGACCCCAAACCCCCCAGTCTCCAAGGCTCTCAAGTTCTGCTCAGTGCACAGTGCCACAGGGAGTAGCCAAGCTAACCAGTGCTGTTGAATCCCCCAGACCTCATACCCCTCACTCCAGGTGTTTACCCAACCTGCCACGCTCACCCTCACAAGCTAAGAATGGTGGAAACAAGGAAAAGGCTCACCCTTCTGAAGGGCAACCAGGCAACAAGAGGAATGAAGGGGTTGCTATTGAGGCTGTAGTGAGTTCTAGCCCAAACCCTCCTGTGATAACACCATCCATTACCCTTGCTCCAGCTGGGACTACTGTGACATCTGGAGCAGTGACTCCCTCTTTAGCTAATTCGTTAGGAAACAAATTCATCCTCCCTCAAGGAGCACAAATGGCACTCCCTCTCCCAACAAGTTTTGCATCTCTGTACCTTGAGGGTGTCACAAATGCTCTAGTTTCGTTAAATTCGTACTCCTACAGGAAAGCAAATTGGTTACTCCACTCCTTCCCCAATCAAAGTTTTAAATTCTCTGTACAAAAAGGCTTGAGCAGGGTGTCACAAATGCTCTACCAGTCTCACTGGCCAGTCCAGGAATGTCTGCAGACTTGTCAGGTGTGACCCTGACTCCGTCATGTAATACGTCCCTCTATATTCCCTCGAGTAACATTTCAAGTACGATGCCATTCATACCATTTAGTAATTCAACCCAGTTCCCCATACCTACATGTGCCACAGTCTCTGTTTCTCAGCCCTTTTGTCCAACAAACACCACAGTATCCCCCAATTTACACCATGCTCACACAAAAATGCCTGCAGTTCCCATTAATAATACACAGCCTTCAAAACCAAGTGGTTCAAGCAGACTCTCACACAAAAATAACAAGCCTGAAACATTTATCAGTCTCCAAGTTGCATGGTGTATATATTATGACAACAGCTACTTCAGTGAATGAACATCCCCCACCCTTCGGGAAGCATATCGGGCCATGCAGCAGTCAAACCCTTTTGTTGCTTGCCAGAATTTACGAAAACAGCAGCTATGGCAATGTCCTCATAGCTTCATTCAAAGCTGGCTCGGCACAAGTTGTCACAGCCTCATGTAAGTACCTTGCTAGTATAACTGCATCTGCTAGTGCTTCAGTGTTCAGCCCTTAACAATACATCCACTGTAACTTTGCCTACGTGCAGACTTCTGATGGTACACACAAACAGAGTGATGGACCTTTACTCATGCCTTACTCAGTCGCAGCTTAGCAAAGCAACTAAATAGCTTCGGCTAGCATTGGACTATTACAGGATAGTATGCTACAAGTATTGACTAAAGCACAGTCTTCACCTCTCATGGGAATCCAGGCAAGCCACACCTCATTTGCAATTGTGCAGCTCTGCAGCTTCTATAACTCTGTCACATAGGCACTAATATCTGAAAATGTTTCTTTACGTAACTACAACCATCAAATATGCAGGCATGTCTGTAGCAACAAAAAGTACAGCAGCTACTTTATATGCCTACTGATCATAAAACAGTGTGTAGCCAGCTACTGAAGATCAGATTAACAAGCACATGTTGAGTTCCTGCACACACATCTGGAGCTGATATTTCCAGGAGTCCAGCAGGAGAAACTTTGCTTAAAAAAACAGAAGTGTTAAAAGCCATCACCTACCCCCTGTGTTGCCACAACTGCATGTGGTCTGTCCATCTCCAGTAATAGCACACAGCTGTGTAAGTGACCCAAAGTAGTGAATGTTTTAACCTGTGCGGTACAGTAGCCGACGGGAACAATGTGGTGAGTGTGAAGGAGAAAGTGGCGTGAGCCACAACTATAGTGCCTGTACCTCCGTCTGTGATGTGACGCAGTGTTGATGCCACAACAACCTGTGCATGAACAGGTCTCAGCAGCAGTGGGCCCAAGGCATGCCTCAAGAGTTAATGTTGCCAGTTATGGTAAAGCCTATTAGTTTGAATAGCCATAGGCTTATATAATGCTATGGTGTACCTTACCTGCCATTTATTTTGTAAATTATAGATTCACAAATAGTTATCCTTATATCAGTGTGTTTCAAACACTTAATATGTCACTTTTAAAGTGCTAGTTAGGGACACTTTTCCTTTCTGTCTTTCCACTACGTGATGCCTCTACTTTCTCAGCAAGGACATTTTTAGAACAGGTTTGTAACATTGGTAAAAATGAACTTTTTCTTGTGATAATTTAAAGGTTGAACTGTGATTAAAGAGGGCCAAACGTCCTGCACAAGTGCAGTTGAACCAGTGGAACTTTCCCTTTATGTTTTAAGCACAGATCTGCGGAAAAGCACTTTCAGTTGCAACGGACTTAATCCATCATCTTGCCTTCATTTTTAATCTGTCTGCCACTCTGTCTTTCTATTAATTATCGAGGTCATGTGAAGTGAGATAATCCTTAGGCCATTGCAGATATATACTATATTGTTGGGCCAAAAAGTTACTGTATACTCCATTTCCTTCATTTTAAAAGTGAGCATTGTACATGCAATTTCCAATTCTGCTTATTTCTTCTGCAGTTTCCTTATTCATTTCTCTTTATTTTTATTTTTTTATTGAATTTTACTCTGTTTTATCATTTTTCTATTAGATGGATCAGAACTGTTGAAAGTTTCCATTTATGATGCCCTAGTACATATGCTTTAGAGACACAAATTGATGGAAAAAGGTAAAAAATAATTATATTGTATTATATATATTGTATATATGATTGCTTTTTGTTGCTGCAAGTTACATACCATGATGGTATTTAGCCAGTGATGGGAAGTAGTCAGATCTTGGAGATATTTATAAACCCTGAAAAATAAACAACTTTTGTGATCCACTTGCTGTGAGAGGATTTGTTTCACGGTGTAAATGTGTGTAGGCTTCTTGGCTATCGATTGGCAGTGGTTCTTGTCAGTACATCCTTGTTTAAGTTGCTATGTAACAAATTGAGATTTTTTCTTGATTGGTGTTACATTGTGTATTGTTGTCGTCTGATTAATGCTAAGTGATTGTTTCTTTATGTCTTGGGAAATTATGGATAATTGGTTATCATTGGAAATACTGTTATTGTACTGGATTATCATGCTGTTTTGTTGAGTATGTTAGGTTACCTTGCTATTTTATGCTGTTTTTCTCACTTCTCTCCTCTTTCCTCTCTCCTCTCCTCCCCTCTGCTCTAATCTCCTGACTAAGTCTCTCCTCACCATACTCATCTGTCATTTCTCTTGCTCTGTATGTTTTGTAAGGACGAAGGACAACGTTTGGACATTTTCAGCATCCAATGATATGGAACAAAACAGTGCCATGTAGGTTCGACAGGAGAACATTTGCTAAACACAAATTTTTGTCTCTCGTTTTGACTTTTTTTTTTTTTTTTTTTTTTGCTTTTTTTTGTTTTGCTGTTTTTGTTATACTTGTGTTTGATCGATACACTCAAATGACTATATCCCTCACACTCACACTTTGGCTGTCCCCATCACAACTGCTGTGCTCACACTGATTTTTCGTGTCACTCTCGGACTACTCATTGTAGTCTCTGTATTCTATTTTCTGATGCTCACTCAGCCTCACTTCCAGACACTTTTCACTTCACTCGATAACTCACGCTACAACGTACACGCGACAATACGTTGCGGATCACACACGCTGTACTACTACACTGTTGCCACACATGCAGCACACTTGCGCTGGCACTCACGCACACACACGTTCGTCACACAACCCTCGCGCTACGCTCCGCACGCACGCAACACACACACCACACACAACACACACACATGCTCTCTGGATTGTCGAAACGGCAACTACAGGGACTGAATCACAACAACACACACACGACACAGAGCATTGGGCAACTACGCTCACTTCCCGTCACACCATTCACATTTTACGGCAAACGCAGCA